CACACACACATTCAGTGTGTAAAATATTTTCATTTTTCTTACTTATCTTTGTGTAATATATAATAAATGTACAAAGTGTTTCCTTTTACAGCTGAAAAACATGTCAAAAGGCCAGAGAAGAGTACAAGGAAATGTGGAGAGTTGAAAACTTCCATCAAAATCTATGCATCACTTTTTGAATTAAAAGTATACAAAAAAAGCAAGATTTTTTTTTGTGCTAAAATTCATACTTACAATATTATCCCAGAGTAAACGATATTCCCCCCCCCCCCATCCACCTGATTTATGTACTTTTTTCTTCCTCTCCTGACACTTGCCATGACTCTGTAAAAATCTTGGAAAAAAGCCAGAGATCAAAACCTGCACATAAGTGGGTGATTCCAGATATGCCATTCATTCCTTTGAATTGACTTCCACATGTCCTGAGACTCTTGGACCCTTGCGCTCTTTTTAAACTGTGTCAAGATGGCCTTTTTGGTGGAGGTTATCATAAAAAAATTGTATTAATTGCCTTGAAGTTCACTATGAGAAATGAAGCAATTTTCAAAACAAGTGATAAATTTTCCATAAAAATAAAAAAATGTAGCAGACCTTTGAAATATGTATAGTAGAATGGGTCACTAGTATTTCAGAATCTATAGCAAGTAAGAAAAATTAATTTTAAGACCCTTGAACTATAGCTATCTGCTTATTAATAACTGGACAAGCTTAAGAAATATAAATTAACTTGTATTTTTACCAAACTGTTTTGTTTGTATTCCTTAAAAATGTCAATTTTAAATTTCTGAAACTTTTTGAAAATTTAAATTTTCAGAAAAAAGAGGCATTTGAAATTTGAAGTAACTACCGTAGCATTGATCTGGAAATCTCTGGGGAGTTTTGCTGTTAAAGCTTAGCACAAACATCCCATCTTGTTTAAACTCCCTTGTTAGTAAGCTGTCTTGTTTAAACTATCATTAGTGCCTGGACCACCATAAAAATGTAGACAATGAAATCATACTCAAGTAAGTCTGCAATGCTATAATAAATAAAAAAGTATGAATCAAAGGTTGAATTAAAATCGACATAAAGCCCAAAATGCAAATTAGTGCTATTCAGTAATCTAACTGCAGATCTTTGGCATTTTTTGTCTTTTTTATCATATCATTTTGAAGTGAAAATTGGAGCTTATCCCATGAAGAGTTTTCCAGTTTTGCACTTCCTCAGGAAAATTGAGGGTGCCATTAGCTAACTTCTTGGAAACAAATGCCATGGAGTCAATGACTGCATTCATTGTTGAGGGTTAAGGCCTAATTCCATGCCTTGACTTCATTTTACCATTTTGTACAGTTCTACTGGTTGGCTCAACTTACTTATGTTAGCAGTTTACGTGTAAATTATTTAGCTTAATTGCCAGCTAGTGGTTTAACACAAATTTTATTCTGCATTCATGATCACAAACCCATAGCTCAAGATCACAAACAGCAAATACATTTTTAGACCCGCTTATTCTTTTCAAAATGAAATATGCTTTGTTTATATATTAACTGATATGAGAGATCCTAAAAAGAAATCAAATAGTGAGTGAATAACAGTCCCTTTTCTCGAAAAGAATATTCAAATAATTTCACACAACTATGGCAAATTACAATTATCTGAAAATCAATGCAGTTACATGTACCATTTTCCCTAACAAAACCCTCCACTCCTCTTTTTATAAACAGACTTTGAGTCAACTGAAATGAAAAAAAACTTTTTATGATCAAAAACTGATAGAAAACTGCCCCAGTCTTGTCCCTGCAAGACTGAAAGTGCAAGGTTACCCCACTACAAAACGTGATCAAAACACAGCTGTCGGGTTACACACAAAACCCCAGTGAAGCACTAAAACCCCTAGATTTCTCCTAGATTTACCTAAGCATTGATAATACAACATAATCCCAGCCCTGGCTTTATTGTCTTAGAGACACAGTGTACCAGCCCAGTATTTGATGAGCCTACACGCATTATGTACCATGCCTATAAGCTCATGAAACTCGATATGTTTGTTAAGTGGCTGTGTATACTCCATACATCATCACATGGAACTTGATACTTTTGTTTGAAACTGTCTGGTACAGTTGTTAGCAGGTGCTTCCTTTATTACACTGTAGATAATAGATGCTTCATTATGTGGTATTCCTAATGGCTCTTATTCACAGAACTTTGAGCTACTGTGACTTGTTTGCAGGTGTTTAAAATTGACCTCATCATTGTGGTTTTCATAACAAAGTAATAATTATCACAGAACGGCATTTTGATAATGATAATAATAATAACTATACTTGATTATATGTGTATATAATGAAGTTTTGTGACTGATGTAGAGCAAAATTAAACTAATGTTTTTGTAATTGCCACAATCATTCAACTGGTAATGCTAAACAGACATTCAAATGAACAGACATTCAAATACATTACCTGTTTTAACACAGTTTTCTGTTATACAGACGTCATCAAAGGAGGAAGCTGCTGCTTAAAAAGAATTGATATATCTAATTTGAGCATACAGATGTTTCAGTACAAGACAACCTCTACTGCACATGCTGCTTAAATTCAAAAGATAAATTTTACATAAAATTCAAAAAGTTAAGTATGTAGAATATTTTAAGGAAAGATACTATATTCTGAAAGAACCTTAAGTTCACAAGGTTCACATCAAGATAAAAATACAATTGTTAAGTTAATATTATATAAAGAATATGCTATTTTTAATTCAAAAGACTTAAAGCAAAAAAGTCTGTTTCTTTTCTGCAATTTACAATAGAGAAATTGGCTGAAAGATATAAGTATTGTTCACATTTGATCTTTTGCAAAAAAAAAAAAAAAAAAAAAAAAAATCAATCAAAGCAGATTAGCTGCAAGACTTCTTACCACTGGCTTGTCCCAAATCCTGTTGCCTCCAGTTCCCGTCTTTAGAAAAGGCAATAAATATGAACACTATGCAGGCGCAGAACAACAAAATTGTTAGTGCCGTGAGATAAGCCTCCAACTTAGAATGTCTTGACAGAGGTCTCTTTGTAACCACGTGCAGGTGGTTCTGATGGCCATTTTCAATGTCCCCATTATTTCCTTCATTAATGCTGCCATTTTCATGATCCTTATGCTGGTGGAGAAGCAATAGCGGCTGCCCATTGCATTCGGGCAAGTCCCGATGTCTGTTTGACCGGTGAGGGCTTCCCCCTACCGGCATACTGCCAGCTGCTATCGCACTGAAAATCTTGACGGTTGGTGAAGAAATTTACCTTATTTATTCTTATTACGATCCAACTGCAACCTTCAAATCTTCTTTTGGTAACATCTAATTTTGCTTCTCCTTGGCTCAAACTGTCTAGATGCTTTTGAATTATTTCTTATAACACCAGTTTTTTTGCTTTTCTGCTGTCTTATGGTGCTGTTTTGTAATAAATATTTTCATGTGGAGAACTTTTCCTGTTTGATAAAGCTTTTTAATCCACTTCGTCCGCAAAATCGTACTGCTTTCTAGGAAATTAGTTGACTTAGCCTTTTTTCTCACTTAATTTTACTGAGAGTCATCAAAGCTGTCAACAAGGAGTCGAAAAAATAGCTGCCTCTTCCTGGTTCAAAATGTAAATATAGGTTAAAACCAAAGCACCTTGGAACCACCTGCTAATTAACTTAAGTCTAGCATTAAAAAGTACCTGGCAAAATCCAATATCTGTTGTTAGAAAATAAAATCTTCAGGTGAGATTGGACTACTCCAGTGAAAGCCAAAGTCAGGAACTTGCAAAGTCTAGTCCCACCAACTGCAGCTTGAATATAAAGGTTGATAACAAATTATAGGTGATCGCGGTGCTGCTGCCACCACTTATATGAGCCGACTCACTGATGATTGAACATTTAAAGCCAAGAATATGAATGTTTGCAAATGTTGTACTCTACCAGCAGGTGGCAGCAGTGATGCCGACACAAGGGTCAAACTGAAACTACCCTTAGCAAAATATCAGGCCTGCGGCAAACTCTCTGGCAAATTTGCTGCAAACTTCTGGCAAATTTTCCAATTTGCAGCAAATTTACTGAGAATTTGCAAGAACATGAATGCTTGCTTGCACACTTGCTTAAGATGTTCTTGCAGATTTGCTGCTGATTTTCTGCAAATTTGCTGTAACATTAAGACTTTTTTGCAAACATGCTGCAAACTAAAGACGTCCAGAAAATGAACCGCAAATAAGAAGCCATACAAAATTTTCTTGCAAACTCCTGCGAACTGGTTGCTCCAAACTTTTAGTTTACAGAAATTTCGCTGCAATATTGCTGTCAAATTTTCATTTTGCTAAGACCAGACATAAAAAAGACTCCTTCAAAATTTTCATTATTAATTGCACAATGGAGGAACCTTCGTTTGGAAATAAGGATATCAAATGATGCCAATTACCCCATTTCTTGGGTAAATTTGGTTAATTGCAAAGGGACTTTTTGGTCTGTTACATGAAAATGATATACTGGTATCCGAGTACATGTATATTCATGTACACATGCATGTGCATGCAAGTATTGGAGTGGATTAATTCCCACATTAAATTCACTGAGATTTTCAGATTTTTCAGAATAGGGCAAACAAAAGCCAATCAACTGCATGTATAACACAACCATACGCTAACTTTAATTCAAAGACAATCAAGAAAGTTATGTATAATTAGCCAATTTCACAAATAACTTTAAATTAGCTCATAAATAGGTGCAGGCTATAATCTTTTAGACAAAAAAAATCATCCACCATGATGTAAGATAAATGTGATAGTCCAAATATATCAAATAATTGCACCTGCTTTTAAAGTAGGAAGTAGTTTTTTTTTTTTTTTAAGACGATAATTTCTTCTGACCAAGACTGGGTTATAGTGTACTGACTATTTCGAATTTAAACTGAACATATTAGGGGCCATTCAGAATGAGAAGATCCAAGTGCTAACTGGCCCACGGCCTAAATATGGCAGACCTACATGAAAGGAAGATCGTTTGATCCTGTAATAATCTCTCCACCTCTTTCACACCTCCCCACACGTAGTCTTTGCAGGGACACTGCAGTAATTAAATCTCAACTCAATACGACCAGTCGAGGAACAACGCGTTGAGAGGCCTGAAAGAGGCATTACAGGATTCAGCAGTCTTCCTTTCATGTAGGTCCGCCATATTTAATTATGCTGAGGAGAGATGTGAAAGAGGCGGGGAGACCCTTACAGGATTCAGCAGTAAGCACTCAGATCTTCTCATTCTGAATGGCTCCTTAGTAGACCATGCTATGAAAGGGCTCAATTAATTGTTCTTTAACGGGTGAAACTGGACTCTAAAACATCTTTAATTTTCATACATATACCAGTGGCACTATGTGAAACTAAAGGGGGAATAAGAGAGGGATGAGGAGGGGCAGTAACTTCAATTAAATTAAGTGAGTTATTTTGGCTGTGATTGGACAATATATCATGTCAAAAAAGTACCTTGCAGTATTTGACATTTTAAGGCATCAGCTTGAACAGTGATGTGCCAGCTATATAATATCCCTTTTGGTTGTAAGCTGGATAATAACCAATGGGATGTGTGTATATAATCACCATTTTGTCTGGTAGTTGACATTTATACATTATAGGAACAAACCATCCACAGCTAGATCACTAATGTCATCTGGGATTTGGTGCAATGTCCTGAAAGTATTACTTGAATTTGTGTATGGATAAATGGACATCAAATGGGGGAAACATTCTGATAATGAAAAGCCTTCAACCAGATAACATTATGATCGGAGTACAACTCATCTGACCTTGAAAAAAATATCATTAAATAAAATTGATAAGGCATATTTAATAGTTTTCTATCACGCTTTGATGATGATAATAATAATAATAATAATAATAATAATAATAATAATAATAATAATAATCTTTTGATATTTCTGATTCCAGTCAGTTGAACAGAAGAGTGCCTTCTCAGTGGTCAGGTTTATTGGTCCAAAAAAGCGTAACATTTTCATCATTTCTTTTTTATATAAAAGGGTTTGTTGGTCTGAAGGTTCTACAGTGAACTTTTTAACCAATAAACCTTTGGACTGTTGTCATGGAGTACTCGAATAGAAAATGCCAAAGCAGTAGACACGATGAAAAGATTCTCAAATTTTTCACTTGCTGCAAATCTTACTCAGATCTGAAGGCTTAATTTGAAAGCTTATAATTAACTATGACCAAAACTTTCTATCTGGGTAAAATGTGAAAACCAAAAATATGCTCATGATCATGAGAACCCATTGCAAATGGTAATTACTTTATTTGGAATTAATAATTCATGATCAACACAGCCATAACATAAAGAGAACCAAGTCATTTGTATTTTATGTACCTTAAGTATATTGTTACTATAGATAATGCTATATTCTACCATTATTATTATTATTATTGTTATTATTAAATGGGCATTTGTTGTCATTTACTATCAACACACACAAATTTAAAAAGTATTTAGTAGTTGGTTTAAATTACCTTGCCTGTTTTACAAATCCTGAATTACAAAGCTACTGTGGATCACCTGCTCAGTTGAGATTGAACGATCATGGTTTTCAAAATGTATCTCTGATGATCTGCAGACCAGCATTCTTCTAGCAGTTAATCTGAAATAAATCAAAATTTGCATTAATTCACAGCTGCCAACATCACCGGAAGACTCTGGAGGTTTGCGGTTACTGCATTAACAGCATTTTATTCAAAAATGAAAAGTGAAGACAGAAAAATAATTTTTTGCAGCAGTTGCCAATAATCCCTCTTACGATCAGGAAATTCCAAAACACATGTAATCAATACATTTTAAAGACTTTCTTTCATCAAACAGCCCTAATAAGATCTTATCTTATTTCATAGTCATGTGCATAATATTCTTTTAATTTTTGGGGTACAATGAAACTCACGAGAGCGCTTCAAGAGCACAAAAAACCTCCATCAGGTAAAAAAGGCAATAACAGTTATAACTTATACTAGGAGCCCAGAATTCAATCAAAATAGTAATTCTTTTCCAGAACAAGTTAACTGGCTACCCCGAAGATGTCATTAAAATTATGCACTTCAGACCATTTCTTACAACACCATGTAAAGACCCATTCCCAGAGATGAGATCGATCCAACTAGATCGACCTAGCTTTTAGTAGGCGGGACAGACGCTTAAGCCGGCTAAGCTGACAGTTATCTAGTGAGACTCCCCACAGGGATAGATCGACCTAAAATCTATGGAAATGGGGTCTTTGATTCAGACAATATACCTAAAAAAAACATGTACATGTACTGACACTGTGCACTAAAAGCTTCACCTAACTTAAGCCATTTAAAAAGAAACAAGTCAGATTGAACACAGACAAATCTCATGGACCACCCCTTAATTTACAATAAGTCTACCATTATTTTGGTCTAAACCAACATTATTGCAGCAACAAAACTATTTATCAACCTACTGCTAATTTCCCTCTTTCAGGATCCTCATGTAGTCAAGAACATAGATATTACTGTATCATAGACCACCTGCAATTTCAAGTACTCACCCTGAAAACTAAGACTGGCACTTAGTGTTTCGAGTATGTAATGATAAATGCTACATTTCACACTGCGCAGTGCTTTATCGTCACTCAGCTGGTACAGGGGAAAGTATCAAAAAATAATAATAAGTGACAACATTACATAAAATGGGAGTTGCAGATAATATGTCTATGGCCCTATTCAGAATAGGGGACTAACTAATCCGAGGGTTAAATATGGCCCGACTCACTTGAATACCTCCCCACGGGGAATCCATTCACTGTCTACTAGCAGATTAGATAGCATGCTTTGTAGTGGGTTGCCATATTTGACCATCAGGCTAGTTAGTCCCCTATTCTGAATGAGACAAATGATAAAGTTTTTAGCAAAAGTAAACGGGCAAGTACTGTGCTGATTCAAAACAATTAAAAGCAAAATCTGAAAACTAAAAGTTTTGCTATAATTCTTTGTATTATCCATATCGTGTTAACTCAAACCCATTTTTGCTCAAGTCCACCTGGTTTGTCATTGAGTATGTTGGTTTCTAAATCAATCTGTCACTGACTCACAAACCAAAATTAACTAGAGGATCTGAGAGGTAAAACTGCCTACTGGTATTGTACCACCAGCAGGAGTATGCACATTTAAGTTGAAAGGAAAGTATGGATGTATGTGCATTAGTTGTGGATAAATAGGGTTGGGTTGATGTGGTGAGAGTATGTATTATGGTGAGAGTACAAAAATGCACTGATTTACCCAAAATTCACAAAGATGAAAGGAGGCGCTAAGTGTAAATCCTCCATATACCAGTAATATGAAAGCATAGGTATACATGTGGTTTCCAAAAAATCAGCACAAACATTTTTTGTAGAAAATTAAACATTTTTACAAAATCTTGGCCCCTTTGACCTTGAAATAAAGGTCAAAGGTCAAATCCAAGGACATATTTAAAATTTCCACTTTGACATTTGGTCAGACTTCTATTGCAACTTTTCCTATAATTCCTTTGGTTTGGAAAATATTTAACATTTAATTTTCCAAAATTATGACAAGGGTGCATTGTGATGAACATCACCCCCAAGCGAATGCACTGCCAGAGACCAAAATCCAGGGAGATCAAGTTGAGATTATATGTGACCTAATTCCAAGAGATGTGAGCACAGGCCCTTATAGTCTAGGAGAATCGGTAACTGTAATGGTGACTTGTATCTGACAACAGAACGTGGAACTGGCAAAGCCATACGAGAAAGGTTGGGGATATGATAATTTTTTTCAATGAAAAATTTATAAAATAAATAAATAAATAAATAAATAAATAAATAAATAAATAAATAAATAAAATGCATTAATACTTATGAGAGCCAAGTACTACTGTTTATTGGCAACATTTTTTCTTTTGTGAAATAGCCCCTGGGCCTTACTGAACTGAAGCAAATATGCAGAGTACATCTCTCATCACCTTAATCACTTTAACAATTGCCTTCCCTGATTGGAAACATGTCCTGAAGATAATAATTAAGGCTCTCTGGTTTTAGGACATTAACTATGAGAGAAATATATCATTTACAGCTATGCTGGGCTCAATGGTTTATCAAATATTGGTTCTTCAAATGAAACAAGCAATGTTCCTTAATGCGGCTTAACAACTTGATGAATGTCATGAATGATGAATGGATTTGTTAAAATATTGCAGATCTATTTGCATGGCTCATTACAACATCTCTTCTGTTGGTGACGGTAGTTAGTGATATTCTTTCTAGATTGGGAACCTACCCACCCCTGGTGTCCCCAATATTAAGGCACCTGCTGTGAACCCGGTTTTATATAAATTACCCAGTATCATCTATTCCCTCCTTGTTTTGGGGAACCTTTATAAGCCCATAGCATTTTCCGTCCTGTCTTTTTATAAGATGTTTTTTTTTCTCTCTAAAATTGATTTTCATTTTTCTGAGCTTGTGTATTTATTCAATATCATTTGGATTGATCTAGTTTCTGTAGATGTGAAGTGGCAGTATTAATAGAAACAGATAATTGGTTAAAAAAGGAAATAGGAGTGTCAATAAATTTATTTGTGGAACTGAGGATATAAAATAGAGCAGAGAGAAAAACACTTTGGAAGATCTCATAACAAGTGTCACTTTGCTTCAAAAACAGTTTGGGTGTTCCTTGAAAGATGCATGCCCGGATGAAACTCTATACATGAGCTACTTCTGATTGGAATTATACAACTCAAGTATGTCCTGCCAAATTAAAAGTCCCTTCAACTTCGTTTTTTTTTTCTTTCATTCTTTTTTTATGTTAACAAATTATCAATCTTTTGATAATTTGATAACAAAAAAAAAAAAAAAATAATAACAATAATAATAAAGAAATTAGGAAGCAAAGACATATAACTGTAAGGAGATGTCACATTAAAACAGTATTTAAAAGATGAACAACAAATTATATAACGAAAGGATGCAATGCACAAAATATATTTCTGCCCATTTTGATGCAATATCAAATAATGCTGAAAATCATAGTAATTACTTAATAAATTGACTTCTTATTATTTATGTACTACTGTTGCTGTGGATGTTCCAAATATATATATATATATTTACTCAAATTGCAAAAAATATACTTCACAGCTTCAACAAAAACATTCTAATCAGGTGAGTTTAAAAACTTTTGCTGTACTTTGGTTCTATTAATATCCCTGAAAGTTCGAGGATAGTAATAATACAGCTTTCTTTGCCATATGCTAATTAAAATGTCCAGATACAGTGTCTGCCCATTACAACTAAATAATATTGAGGAAAGTGCATGTGAGTCACAGAAACCAAAGTTACAGGTGCTAATTAAATTGTCCAGATACAGTTTCTGTCCATAAAAACATTGTTTTTAAAAATAGTATTTCATATCAATAAACATATTTTATCATTAAGAAAAAAGGTTTACTGAGTAGCATCCTTTGCATTTTGATTTTCAATGTTTTTTCTCAACCTTTATAATAAAGTCATGCCAAAAAGGAATGTTACATGTGCCCACTGGACACAAGCACAGATGTCAAATATAATCAAATGTACATGTTACAAACTTCCAACCAGAAGTTAATTTATAACACCAAATATAAAACCTGTCCATAACCTTATCTTCTATCCAAATTTAACAATCAATATACTAGTACCTGCTTCTTTTTAATCTATGCTAAGGTGGCCTCATTAGATTGTTATTTTCTTACCTTAAAAATAAAGTCCTCTAGCTATTCCAAAAACTTTGCATGACATACAGAAGACCAGGCAGAAATGAGGCTGCAGTTTTTTTCCACAAACCAAGCAGGACACACATATCCTCTTACCCAGCCAGCCAATAAGACATTAACACTGCTTCACTAAAAGCACAATCTATTTAGACTAGGTTATAAAACCAGTGTTGTGCGTGCACCGAGGGTTTCTACACAAATGACATCAAAACCTGTTAACATCCCTTGTATGCTAAAGTAATGGCCGTCTAGAGACACTTTTCGTGATGAGCTAGGGCCACCTCTATCTCTCACAGCAATTGTCTAAGTGCTTCCTCAATACCACTATCATAGTTAGTAATGGAAATGTTGCATCGAATTGCATGCTCCATGGCATAATGAAGACACATTGCACTATGCTGAAAATGGATATATATATATATATATATATATATATATATATATATATATATATATATATATATATATATATATATATATATAATCATGGCAATTTTGTACTGTGTAGATCTACAGCATGTGCTTGGATTGACTGAGCTAGGCCACTTTCACAACCGAAGTTGGTCTGCAGACTAATTAACAGATCCCCAGCTAGATCAAATATGGACAACCCACTTGAAAGCTTACCGCCTAATCCCTGCTGGAAATCTGTTCCGGGGTTACGTGGCACACTTTGAAATGGGTCTGCCATATTTGATCCATGGATCTGTTAGTCTGTGGATCAATTAAATGTTCTGAATGCTCTTTAAAATTGACTCCTCAGAGTGTAATGGAAAAATTACAGTATCATAATCAATGACTAATTTACTTAAAAAATAACTATAATTGCCCCAAAGTTAGTGATTACTATCAATAAAATATGAT